AGGTTTAAAGTAATTGGACATGATTTATTTACTCTCGTGTTTTTATAATTTTTCAATAGCTGAAAACAGAATAGTGTGTCCAATTCTATACAAGTTATTTTTATCTGTCCAAAAATTACAGGGCTCACAATGCTACATTTCTGCTACATTACTTTATTCTATCTTGACCATTTTTGTATTGAATGTTGTTAAGACATTTATTCTGTGCCCAAGTTTTGAGTGTCACCCTGCATTTAGTTATTATTTCTTTTTGTATTTTCATTGCTGTTGAAGCTCACTTGTTTGTCAGGTATGCATTTTCTACTAAGTTAATGTCATTATTTTTCCACTTTGCCACAGGTTATCATTGCTCTTTCAGAAAAACACCGTTCACACATTCCTTATAGGAACTCCATGATGACCAGTGTCTTAAGAGACAGTTTGGGAGGGAACTGCATGACAACTATGATTGCAACACTCTCATTGGAGAAAAGGAATATTGATGTATGTTGGTTTTTTTCTGGATTTTATGCTAGTTCATGAGATCGAGTTGAGGGTCCTGTGTGGGTTTGCACTTTTTCAGCAGGGTTGAGATATTCCTTCAGAGGTAAATGACTTACAGAGTTCAAGCCTTGGGTTAGTTGCCACCATCATTATTTCCCCATTTGAGAACTGACTTCACATAGCCCAGGATGGTTTGAAGAAGCCTCATGTATAAATTTTGGAAGGCCTGCCGATGGGTTAGTTACCTGACCCAGAGAAATGAGAGAAGTGACCCTTCAGCTTCTCTTGCTCAGTTTGGTCCCGATTACTAAGATCTGGATACCTTGGAGATATCTCTGAGATATGTCCCTAGATATGTTGCTGGGTGCAACGCCCAGATTGCTTTGGCAGGGGCTAGCTGCTGAATGGTTTTTCTCTGTTCCTTTAGAGCCAGTTGATGTTTCACTCATTTCACTTTAATGTTTGGGGTCCAGATGCTCTCCAAAAGAGGAAAACAGAAAGTGGTAGGGCAATTCTCAAAACAAGGCCAAGCCTTTGATTGTAGGATGCCTTGAAAAGCCTCTCTTTTTGGTCTATTACAAATATTTATTTTATAGTCTTTCATGTTTATGGATTATGGTACCTGCTATGGTTATGATTTTTATATATAGTTCTGATTTAACAGATCAGTAGTTGAAAATACATACTGTGCCATTTTGCCACTTAAGACCTTAGGACCTCCAACTTTTTGGCATTGGTCATTTCATTAAGCCAAAGCTAAATTTTGCTTAAAAAAATAATGTCCTAGAGCAAAGCTTCCTAATTTGGAGGCATATGTCCTCATTGTGTTTTTTTATACATATCACCCTTGACATGTGCATCTTTTCTTCTGAGAATAAAAAGTTTTATTTAAAGGGCAATATCGCTCTGTGTCATATTATTTTAAGAAGTCATTTTGCTTTCTTAGGAGTCTATATCTACGTGTAGATTTGCACAGCGAGTGGCGCTAATAAAGAATGAAGCTGTTCTCAATGAAGAAATCGATCCCAGATTGGTAAGCAACTTTTAACTGACCATGTTAACAAAATCAAAGTATATCAAAGAATAGCCAAAACTTGCAGGGGCACTTACTCTCTACCAGGAAATGTTCTAAGTGCTAGAAATGTATTAAAACTTATTTAATTCTCAAAACAATCTTATGAGTAGATGCTATCTCTGGAACCACTTTACAGATAACAAAACTGAGGCACAAAGGTGTTAAATCTGGCTCAGAGTCACAGTACTGACTTCAGACCCAAACAGCCTGACTCAAGAGCCCGTGGTCTTCTCACCTGCTTCACTAGGAAGATGAGCAGTGAGTCCTGAAGACTCATTCAGCAGAATCATACCAACTATATCTATATGCAGGACCTAGCCCTTCAAATTGCATCACTTTAACTTTCTAGAGGCAGTAATTTGGCCACTTTTTATAAAACCTTATAAAGAAAGAGAAGTCCTAATGGTTAATAAATAGAACCATCTTTTGTATAACTGATCTGTTACTTATGCTAGAAATTTTTAGAAATCCATTGTGGGTTTGATCAATGGAACAATAGCCAAGCTTCTAGTTTTATAATAATAAATACTGTTTTATCAAAGCACCGTTTTTAAGCAAAA